ATTTCAATTGTTGTATATTTTGATATTATATATGTTTGTAATTATGTCCATAACATATTGTTTATTGTAATGCTTGTTGATACACAACATTATTAGTTTTGTTTCCTGGCGCGTAAATAGGAGTAAATAATGCTGATGGTTTTCCGACACGGGAACAGGCAACATACAGTTGGCCATGTGAAAAATATGGATTTTCAAGATTAATGCCACAAACACTTAAGGACTGCCCTTGCGATTTATTTATTGACATTGCAAATACAAGCCGCACTGCCGATTAAAGTCGAATGGCATGTCGTTCGGCATCATAGGGATGCGTGGAATTAAAACGTCTTCGCCTTTACACTTCCCTTTTAAAATTGTGGCTTTCTTTGACGTTGTCCATTAATTTCTTCAATTACAAAGACGTGACTGGTTTATGTTTCGTAACATTATGATTACCAATCCGATTTTTAGTTTCAGATTATAAGGTTAGTAACCCGGGCAATTCCAAGGAATTAGAAAGAGAAATTCCGTTGGATATTTGACAACATCATCTTGGTTAGTAACAGAATCAATCGATTTGTATGTCATCAATTCGCCAGCTATCTTACTTTGAATTTATAAATTCTCTTCGTTGACATCAACGTTTTTGCAGCCAACATAACACGTTCACTTAACCAAACATGATTTTTGAAATTTTCAGCAATGTTTGGGAAAACTATCTCGATGAGTTCGATCTTTGATTCAGGAAAGTGTCAAAAATTTGTAGGGAATGTAATGTATCCAGATGATGTGTCAACAGAAATTTTGCCATTATCAATTTCGAGCAACTGTTTGGAAAATTCTTAACCAGATTCGTCATTTTGCAATACGACTCGCACATTCATAAGTAATTTGAGTGTGTTGACGTATTTCCATAAAATGGACGACTTCAAAAATGCATTAAGTTCATCGGCTGGCGTTGATCGAGGCATTACTGGCAATGTTTGTCTAAAATCACCTGCCAATACAATCATCGCTCTACCAAACCGGGTTTGGTTGCTTGGTAAATCTTTCATTGTGCGGTCTAATGCCTCCAAAGGTTTTTTGTGTGCCATCGTGCATTCACGATAAATCTGCTTTGCTGCAACACTTTGGCCATCACAGAATTTTTCGAAAGGTTGCCAGTTGGAGTTTCATTAGCTTGCATGTTCAATGGTAATTTGAGTTCTGAATGAGCTGTTCGACCGCCTACCAACAACGTTGCTGCAATACCTGACGGTGCGTGCAAGTGCATTACCGTTTTGCGATCGATTTTTTTCCAAAATCAATGATATCAAGAATGTTTTTTTCAGTTTCACCAGGCGCATCTAATAAAAAATTCAAGTCCTCGATTAAAATTTATGCTTCATTGTGAATTTCTTCGTTCATTTGCAAATCTTCATCTTTTTCATTCAATGTTCTAATATATATCTATATTCTGCAATATATCTTCGGCCGTATGATCTTTATATTTGTTCCATATATCAATCGGTGTGGATGGGAAGCATGTGCACAAAATTATAGCAAACAATGTTCGTATTTGTTTAGCATTTGACGATATTACAGCATTTTCGAGTGTGTGGTCCCAATTAGCGTCATTCTCTAGCAATCCCAAATGTTGGCAGGCTTCTCTATATGTGCCGTAGCACAAGCCTGTACTGTACGCAATACACCATTAACTGTTCGCAGATGTTGGAATGATATTGGGCCACGAATATTGACTAACAGTGAACGCTCGTAACGCACGTCGAACGGGGATGGACTGTGAAAAGACGTCCTAGTGCATCGGCGGATAATATTTGTGGGTAACCTGGAACTGGCTGACCTTGTTTCCGTCTTTGAAATTTTATTGAACGCTTGGTTCCAGGTATAATATCTTGGCATTTCAGAGTAAAGTAGCGTTCTGGCAAAGTAATCATTGTGGCACATTTCAAAGAAGCTGGTCAATGTTGTAGATGGTGGTCTGTCAACTTGTTGTAATACATTCTCCGTTGTAAAATACTCTTTGACCATTTTCCAAATGTACGGCCAAGTGAACAACTGTGGGGTGTCTTTCATGTATTGCAAATGAAAAATACGCCACGTTGCTTCGTTACTGCTAACATAGCGGCTCATTAAAATTGAGTGACTTCATCGTTTGAATTTTTGGCAGTAAGTCCGAACACAACCTTTGTTCACGTACTTGCAAATGTACTTAAAAGATTTCACGGACTCGCAAAATTCGACGGTTATGTGTGCTTCAAATGTCTTTAAGAGTAACGGCGAAAACGGAACAACCCAACGATTATCAACTTCAAATGTCCTGTTGATTCACTTTTACTATTGTTGACCTTCCATTGTCGTCTGTGGATCTGCGGTGATATAGTGGATAACCATCATTTCCAGTAATTCTTTCTGCTACCAATTATCTTGGGTAGCGTTTTGAACATTTCCCTTCAACCATACACAGAGAAACAAGATTTAATATTCCACAGGGACCATGAATTATATTTTTTGTAATCACCTCATGCAACAGCTGATATTCGTCATTATCAGGAATTTCTGCTGATTTAACATCATCGATTTCATTCTTTCCTGTCTTCTCAACTAACCAAATGAGGGTATGTGCATGTGGCAATCCGCGCTTTTGCCACTCGACTGAATACATCCAGCAACGCGTCTCATCGAACAAGCGATGCTTGACAAAAAAACATGAGTAATTTTAATTTTCTTTTGAACAACCTTGCAGTGATGTTTTGGCGATCAATGGGCGATTAGCCAGGTAATAATTCTTGTCGAATTTCTGTCCACTATGGATTGCCTATGAACGTGATAAACAAATCTGGTGTGCCATAATGACGTACCTACGACATAGCATCTTGCGCGTATTCATGCATATGCCAAGGACTGCCGACGTATGTTGCTGGGAAAATGTTGTTCTGCCGACATTCTGTGCAATTCTGTGCATTTCCGTCAGCATTAATTGCATCCCGCAGATGAACGTATTTCTCGGAACGGAGTTTTGCCTGGTTCAACCTGATATATATCAATCGCTCTGTCTCAACTTTCACGTACATCATATCCACAGCATATTGATGAAATAGACACCGACATTTTAAAATGTTTGGTCCGTGTCACGTGATGCCGTCATCCGTGTGGTGACGGATTAAGAATACGAAGCGTCACCACCCCTATTCATCCCGTGGGTGTCGTAAGAGCCGACTAAGGGATCAAATTACGCAGAACAGCACTGCAAAAAGAAGGAAATCTTGATACAAACCCTATACCAATCCTTCTGGCCACCGTGGTATAGTAAGCCAAATCCTCCTTTCTAAGGAGAGGCCTATGTCCAGCAGGGGACTATAAAAGGTTGTTGATGATGATGATAATGATTTTAAAATGTGGTTATCCTCATTTTGCCGAACCCCATCACTCGGTATGAATAATAATTCATTGAATTAATGTTTGTATGTGTTTCGGACACGCGCGGCAGTTGATCGTTCCGCGGATGTAAAACAATATCTCGATTTTCTAAATTTTCACTCACGACGACCATAGCGACTTCATTAATTGTTGGCGCATTAAAACGTCTTGCGTGTTGTCCTACAGGCGTCTTATTGGCTCTGATGACAATTTTGTGGTTATCAGATGGCATGCGATCTAATGCGGTCTTGAATAATGCAACCAATTCGTTGGGTTGATGAAAAAATATTTGGAGTTGTTCCACAATTGGTCTTTTGACAGAAAATATTGTGTGCACAACGCTGATCAACACTAAATTAATTTGTAGTCACTGTCCGGCGTTGGTAATAGCTGTTTGATGATATATTTGACCCTGAATCTTGAAAGTGGACATAAGCTCTCGAATATTTTTTGTTGCACGAAATAAGGTCGTTTGAAAGCAATTATTGTATTGCTGGATATGAGTCCAGCTGACACAACTAATTAACGCAAAGAAAATATAACGCTACGCTAGAATTATGCGATCTTTGTGAACGATATTGGCGGTATGTGATCTGTCTGAACAACTGGCAGACAACTGTCAAACAACTGACAGTTATTTCAAACGTGCTTAGCAAAGAGTATGTAACGCTGGGGCTAAGGTTACATTAAAAAAGTTTATAATAAAGGTAGTCGTTAAGTTTTCTTAAATTTTCTAAGTTTCTGCGCAATTTTCTTAATTTCTTTTACATTAAGAATCTTCTAGGAAGTATTAGAAAACATTAAAAAAAAGATGAATAAAATCGGTAAAGCCGTTCTCGAGTTATAGCATGACCAGGAGAAATAGGGGTTAATTTTTAAACATAGATATAGATAATACATGAAACGAAAACTTTATACCGCTTTTTAAGAAAATTGCGCGAACGGATGAAAGTGAAATTTGACACGGTTAAAGTTATGTTGTTATTTATTTAAAATGCATTGAAAATTATACATTATAGTCATAACGAAACCTTTGATTATAGAGGTATAGTCTTTGACAAAAGAACCCTAATGAAGTTCAAACTTAAAATGAATTATGGTCTAATTTCGACCACTGCGCGATTATAGTAATCATTTATTAAAAATACATCAATCAAATTATATTTTTAAATGCAAAGATTTATTTACCTTGTGTGTATCGTTATTTCTCTAAGGCCTTACTTGCACCACACTGATTATGGAATCAATCCCTACCCACTACCAAACCTACTACTTCCACAGACATTTTACTAGTTGAAAGGGGTAACAAGAATACTACTAGAGCATGAACTCTTTTAATAAAATGAGTAGGTACTTTGAATAGCTGACCTAGGAGAACCACTACTCTTGCCGATACTCAAATATTCTATCATGAAGTCGCAGGAAGGGCAATATTTTAAAGTTTTTTTGTGTATTATTTTATTATTAACTAATTATTAACTCATCACGTTCTGACCCTTGTCCCAAAATTGTTTGAGGTCGGCGTAATGAGTTTTCTTCTTCCATTCTTCTCTATTGCTCACTTACTTACTAACTAACTATGTGTGTCTTTTCACTAGGCACTCGGCTCCACGAGGAAGATGTAGCTGCAATGTTAGCGTCGCAGGCGGCGCTGCAACGGCTAGTGCCAGGATTCCGGTTCAACCTGGGCTACAGCGCTAAGTACTACCACCACGGCACCGCACTAGAAAACCGAGGGGATGATTCTTTGCTACGTAATAGAGAACATTTTAATTGGTAAGTAAAGTCTATAATCAAAGTTTCAAAATCAAAAGTTCAGGTTTTGAACTGAAGAAATTGTGAAATTTTGCAAATGAAAGTAAAATTACATTAACGAAACACTTGAATGGGATTTTAAAGCATACCTACAATGTATCTCATTGAGTGAACAATATAATTGTAAGGAATCTTTCGAATATAATCAACTCGGAAGCCACGATAATGCTCTTTAACAATGTGATTTGTACGGTTACTTTATCTTAATTCAGTTGAATCATATAATACATTTATCAGGATATAGCTGAAACTTTTATTTGAACTCCACACTAACAACAACACGAAATAAGTTTGCTCTAGGGCTCTGAATAACGTAAAATGTTTGAAATACGTATCTTCGATGGTAATTATAATATTCTTCTAGGAGAAATAAAGAAAAGTTTAATAGTAAAATAATGCTTTACTATTAAACTTTTCTTTATTTCTCCTAGATTAGTAAATTTAATAAAAGGTTTAAATGGTAATGGTCCATTATAAAGTATTAGAATTTCTTAAAAAGAACCCTCCAGCTGTCAAACAATGGACTAAAACCGATTTCTTTTAAAAAATTAGAGAAAAGTTTACCTAGCATAATAGTTTCCTCCAAGTATTATCCATACAATAGTTTGTGGATCACACAAAGTTTTGTCCCATGTGGGGCTCGAACCCACAACACACAGCGTAATAGAAAGCGGCGAGGTAACCGCTTTAACCACTACGCCATCCTAACCTTCAAGATAACTGCTGCTATGGCATACAGGAAAAGCTATCCGAACATAAAATTCACAAAGGAAAAGAAGAAGAGTTCGAATTTACGAATTTCCAGTTTATCCATGGCGCAAATAACTATCACAATTTCACAAAAACAAAACATTTCTTGAAAAACACACATAAGCAGAAACTCGCATTGTGCTAATGATATAATAAATAGGACATAAGTAGTAATAATAATAAATAATTTATTATCAGAAAAACCCAATACGGTTTGTCCATCTCATCCAAACATAAAAGCATAGTTGTATACAACGTTACGTATTCTTTAGAGACAGAGTGAACGTCCAGTGTCTTGATAGTGTTAACTGTGTTACAGACACTGGCGCATTTTAGCTTGGTTTAGCATTGATAAGATGAGAAACTATTAAAAACTTAAACAATACAGTTCTCAATTATATAATTGGTTATTATTTAAAACTATAAGAGTACGTGTGGAGGTGAACGGTGAAGTAAGTGAAGTTTATTATGCTATGAGTATTTGCATGCATTAAAAAATGAAATGTGCTGAGGATATTTAACAACAGCGTGTACGAACATACTTCAAGTGAAGAAATTGTTCTTTCTTTTTACTTTCTTAAATAGGAAATTATATTGCAACTCACTATCCATACTAATATTATAAATGCGAGTGTGTCTGTCTGTCTTTCTGTTACCTCTTCACGCTTACACCACTGAACCGATTTAGTTGACATTTGGTGTAGAGATAGTCCGAGTTCCGGGAATGGACATAGGGTAGTTTTTATGCATCATCTTTAATGGGGTGAAAAGGGGGATGGAAGTTTGTATGGGGCATCAACAACCGATGAACCGATTTATGAAATCGGGTATGGCTACTTTTTACCGCGATAAGCGACATATACGCGGGCGATAAGTAACATATAAGTGACATATATATAAAAAGCTATTACTCTATAATTCAATATTTGTTATATACAAAATGCAATTTGTATTACAAGTGACCTCAGTTCAAGACGCAGACTTAGTAAACCCTCTACTCTTCATAAAGTTAATATGCATATGAGAAGCAAGTTTAACTTAATTAAATAGAGACGTATCCATACTTGTGACCGTCTCACCAACTTTACTTAATACGGCACTAAATCTCTTGAAACTTCCTACGTAATTCTTCGAAAAGAAGTACGAAACTCCACGCTTGTTTCAATTGCAATTACGGGAATGTACCTTCTCTTAACTTTACTTACATGTTTTTTGATCCGTAAGTGTAAACGAATAAAGGATTGTTGTAACAAAAAGTTCGTACAGCTGGTACATAAGTGTTAGTGAGAAGGATTGTTCGTTTTTATTTAATACTTATAATTAGGAAGCGTATAGTGTTATTAAAAAACGTACCTTTATCAACATAATTTTACTAGTTTCTACAATGCCCCGTCCTCTACACTCGCATTCCTGGAATATCAAAAAATTAAACGTAAGTGACTACCCTTCAACAGCCTTACGTCCTATCATCAGCCTATATATCAGCCTATAATATACTCGTATATTATAGGCACGATATAAGTTATTTTTTTCCAATGAAATGATTCCTTATTGGGTGTGTGAGGTGTGTGTGTAAAAACAAGTCAAACCGAGTAACATTGGTAAACATTTGGAACTATGTAAAGTAAAATAATAATAATAACTACACATCTAGGCAGAACCTGTACTCTGGTAAGTAAACTGCTGATTAACATATAAAATATTATAGATAAATTAGACACAGAACAAAATGATCGTACCCATCACACAACTATTTGTCCTGGGTGGCAATCGAACTCACGACCTCTGGCTTAGCAATCAACGTCACTAACCACTAGACCAACAGGACAGGTAAAATAAATATTAAGGCAATTCAAAATTATTTAAAATTATTCCATATACACAATAACCTAGGACCAATTTTCTAAAATTGCTCGTTTGAAACTTTCAGTAGGTAATGTGAAATGAACATAGGTACTTTTAAAACAAAGTTGTGATTGTGCAATATAAGCTCGTAGTTTAATTGTCCAAAAATATGTAGTTATAAGAGATATTTTTAGTACAGTACACGGTTAATTAATTTTTACAATAGTATTATAGTTTTATAAAATGATACAGAATATTGTCGCCCGTATTTGCGTGCAAAAGGAACTCCTTCAATTTCATAGCTGTCATAAATTAATACTAAAAACATATGTATATGTTGCTTTAACTGGGCCCTGAGTTATGATTATAGCACTAATAGCACATTACCTTCAACAGGTTCTGCCACATGTGGAACCACCAACAACCCCACCTGTACAACAACGTTTCTCACTTGGAAGCCGAGATGATGCTCAACAAACAATTTGCAATCGAACACGGCATTCCTACCAACTCGTGTTATTCGGTATCACCACATCACTCCGGTGTATATCCAGTACATGAACCGCTGTACGAAGCTTGGAGAAAAGTATGGGACGTCAAAGTAACAAGCACTGAGGAGTACCCGCATTTGCGTCCGGCTCGGTAAGTTTTGTTTGACTACCCTCACATTACTGACCTAACTTGTCTGTTTATTTATGTTGATATCTATGTTAATCCTATTGGGGTGCCTGCTCGCATGTGGCTTGGGTTAAGACTATAATTACTGTTTAATATTACAGGGAATAGATTGGCAACGGATAATGTTACTAAGTTTTACATTTTGACTACTCGCATGTGTATCATAATCTGTCTCTTTGAAAACAATCATTAGTGTGACTTATTTTCGTGTAGTTTAGATTGTATTATTGAATCATAATACGTAGGTCTAACCTACGGGGTCGGACTGTCCGACAATAATGTTTGAGTTACTGAAATGCGTTTCCGACTTCGTTTTGCGATTTCTATTGCTTGCACTCTCCAATTCTTTTCCTACCTTTAGGCACTTTCCCTTCTTACCCACCTTCATATTCCAATATATCAAAATCTATACTTTTGACGTTTAGTTCCGCTTACGCAATAGGCTTACCGCCTATTACATTATTAGGATTAAAATTATGTTAAAAAATAACTTGACGCAGGTCATTTTACAAAATTTTGGCGTTTAATACATCTCTGTCTACCCCTTTAGTTATCAAGACGAGTACATGCATTCGTATGTATCGTAATCACGTAAGATCCCCTTCTATTGCGTTTTATCATTTTGATATTACGAGTATTCTGAGAATAAAACTGGTACATAGTATAACGCTGACATGTAAAGTTTAAAGATTTGAAGTTAAAGACATAATAATTGTAATGTTAGCACAAATTCTCTTCTTTCTTCTGTTGGTACGTTAGGGTAATATTATCTATAAAATATCAGTACACAAAAGTTCAGTCAGTTCAATACAAATGAAAAATGGATAAAGCAATAGTTCTTTACAACTTAGACATAATAGAATAAACGTTACATACGTTTTTCTATCAAAATGTATAGTTGTCCCGCCTACGGCTTACAAGCTTATATACCTGTAATAAATATGTTTTATAGATATCTTCATCAGTATTCGTGATTAAGGGGTTCCTAAAGAAAAACTAGTTCAATTTCAGTAAATAGCGTAACAACGACATGGACGATATGCGAGATAATAACGTTCGCAATAAGTGTCCCTGTTGCTGGCAAATGTTTGCGGTAGTCGTGCGGTGGTTTCCAAACTCCTATTGACCGCAAACGTTGCGTTGCGGCGCCACGAGTATCTCGATAGCCAGGCGCCGACAATGAAATTCCAATAATTATATTACTGGTTTGCAATGTGCATATGCGGGTATCGTACAACGTGAAGTGTGCACACCTATTTAAAATAAATGGATGATATATGTACCCAAAATATTGGCGAAGGCTTCAAACTGTTTTTGTTTGTTGGTTTTTACTTATTATGGCTTCATAACAAGCTTACATATATAGAAAGACTAGACAGTGATGATGTTGAGGCTAAATTTAAAGGCGAGTAACTAAGAGTTTAACAGGGAGGTAGATAACAGACAAATAGATAATAAGGGTCACTTAAGGTGAAGATTATTAAAATATGCGATTATTGTAGACCTAAGAACTTTAAAAAACGAAAGCATATTATAAAAATGTGAAATGAGTGTAAAAATGTTTTTTCGTATATTATCTTACAATAGTCTTGCAAGTGACGCCTTACTGAGATCATTTTTATTAACATACATATCTCTTGTCATCTATTCTTCATAGCCCCTTAGTTAATGTGCTACGAAGTATGTATATTGTTGGGGAAGGTAGCGGGCGTGGTGGACATATTCCCGTTAACGGCTGACACCTACTAGTGACGGCGGCGGTGTGACATCTTTTAAATTAACTAGTACGTTATTCAGTGCTCACGTCTCGTTGCCGTCCTGTCCCGCCCGCAGTTTGTCTGTCTTAAGTAGTCACAATTAATTTAATTAATTAGCGTTCATTCAATTTTGATACCATAAAAAGCGATAATAACGGGGTTAAAACACTTTACTTTTGTAATAGCGAAATATACCTAGGTATATTCTATAACTTAAAATTATAAAGCAGATATCTTTAGAACATTTCTAAATAATGTTTGAAGCTACTCTAACAATACTCACTAATTGTATAATAGTAACTGTACTCCTAATCCAGATAAACCCAACAATGGATTGGCATTTAGTATATAACAAAGCTTTATATAATCATATAAATTTAATGCAAAATTATGTGCATAGCAGGTTAATTCATATTATACGTATGTTCATGGATGCATTCATGTGTAAATATTTGGGAAGCTTTGTATCATAGACTCTGTGAAATGACGTGCCTAATTAATTTTCTATTTTATATGTAGATCATGCTCGAGTGGTTTAGGCGTTAACAGAGCGCTCTCATCAGTGCTATTGGGATATCGTCATGTTATATTTAAGATTCTTAATTCCTTGTAAAGCGCTAGTTTGTGCTTTAATATAAATTCATTCACTTAACATTTATATACTCACGATTTTATTCCCGAAGAGGTAAGCAGCTCCATATGAAAAATCCCACATTTTGCCGACTACAATAATTTTAATCCCAGTTATGTAATATGGGGCAAGCTAATTGCTGTAGACCGGGTACTTTAAGATTAGTGTGTAATTAATGTCCAACATCGAAAAACATCGAAGTTCAGCCGTATTATAGTAGACTTAAAGCCGACCCCAACCTGATTTGGGAAAAAGGCTTGGCGGATTGGGCGTTAAATATAAAAGGCAACGTTACTAAGATTGGAAGACAAAGGTGGGAATGAAAATTGTTGCTTAGTTGTCGGAGCTCTCTAACCTCATCTGTTATAACAGAAATCAATTTTTTTTGAACAATAATCAAATAAAATATAAAAAAAAAACGTTATAAAAGAATTATATCTGCGATGCGAGTGTTCAGGCGCTCTGTTGATTGTTTACCAACGATAGTTTGCCAACGTGCCACAACTTTTTTTTTCTTATACATATTTGTTCCTCAGGTTGCGTCGCGGGTTTAGGCATAAAGGCGTTATGGTGCTCCCTCGCCAAACCTGTGGACTCTTCACGCATACGCTTCTACTCGAACGATATCCAGGAGGTCGGCATCGCCTCGATCGGTCCATTCAAGGTGGCGAGCTCTTCCAGACAGTCATCAATAACCCTGTGAGTGTTAACGTGATGTATTATTTAATATGTTATTTTAAAGGTATTTCCAAATAGAAGATAAATCATAAATAAAATATCATATATTTTTACATTATTACCTCTTGAAACTTGAAGTTTAATAAAATATTAATAAGAAATGACAATACTCATCTAACGGGCCACAATCTTAAACTTTGTACCAGCTTCTCCAACAACAATAATCATCAACACTTCTTAAGCTTTGACTACACGATTAGTCAAAGCGTGGAACAAGCTTCCAGATGATCTTATACCCGCCCTAAATTTAAAGCAATTCAAAAATGAACTCGATAGATATGTAATTGAATCCAAGAACGACAACTAATAGGAATCTCTCAGGATACATTCTTTCAGTCTTTATCAGTTGTTTCAACTGCCTGTCTGTTTTTTAAGGTTAATAAATTAAAAATAAGATTAAAGTGAAAAGAGATTTATTAAAAAGCGCAAAAAAAAAAATCTATTAACGCATATTGACCGATTACGATTCATTTCGCTTTTTAACCAATTCTATTTGAATATTTCAATAATTAAAACTATTCATATCGGTGAACGTAAATACCGGCGATATAATACTATCGACCGACTTCTGCGATATGAAACACGAATTCGTTCGTTGCTATGTCATAATTTTATTTAATATTATGCAATTGGACATGTGTTGTTTTAATTTTCGTAAATGTTATCATTTTATTATGCAAATGTTTTTATTATAAAGCATAATATTTGCTTAACCTCCATAATTATGCAGATAGACTGTATAATAAAAATATAAAAATTACTCTTAGTTTTTTGACGTGTTATAACTTTTTGCACGTTCTTTAACATTTTAGTCCTCTTTAACAATCTGTATTTTTTAACTTGCTACAACTTCATAACTCGTAAGATTTATATATACCTATTTCAATTACATTTTTAAACTTATTACGGAGGTGTGCAGTAGTTAAAGGCGCCTGCATAGTTTTTAACATTTTACAACCCCAGAGTTAAAGGAGAGGAAAGGCTTTTTCCTTTGATACAGTGTCTAAAGTCACCGCAGCATATATTGCTTTGCAACATTGCAGTCAAATCGCTCCTATTTTATAAGGGATCCTTGTCTTTAAGCAAAGTAACTATTGTCCATAAGTAAGATCTAAATACTACTTATTTGGAAAAAGAGGAGACTATGCGCCTGATGACAACCATGATCTGCCTCTCCAATAGATCTTTGATATTTACGAATAACTTTAAACTATACAAGAAGTGATAAAACGATCTTTTGTATATATACTAACCTGATAATAAAGGTCGTTTATAATTCTCTACTCCCATACAGATCAACGTGTTCATGACGCACATGTCAAACTACGGCAACGACAGGCTCGCCCTCTACACGTTCGAATCTGTAGTCAAGTTCCTTCGATGCTGGACTAACGTTCGTCTTGCGTCCGCTCCACCGCTTGCGCTTGCTGACAAGTACTTCCAACTGAGGCCTGATGAACTGAATCCGTTGTGGGGAGTAAGTACTGTTTTTTTTTAATTAACTGCGTATGACGTGAAATGTTATTATTTCATATCTACTCGTAATATTGTTCTACCGGTCATTTAATCTGTGAGGTTGTTAGTGATTAGTATGTGAATATTATATTAAAATACTATTAAAAAAAAAATTTACCTAAAGCAACATATATGTAACATAACAGGATGGACTAACTTAGTCTATTTTTTCAAAATAATAATATTCTACGACATTCACACAAGCAGTATCTAGTTCCAAACTAAGCAGAGCTTGTACAATGGGTACTAGACAACTGATATAAAAAACATATATACTTTTATTTTGTAAATACATACGTATTAGACATTGAAATACCCAGACCAAATCAAACATTAAATGTTCATGCACACAAATGTTTGACTTGAGCGGGAATCGAACCCACAACCTTGTGAATAGCAGTCTGTTACACAAACCACTACGCCATCCGTTCGTCAAAATGTTAGGTTGGTTTTCCATTTTAAAATTTTTATTTTCGTAGCAACTGTTACGGAATCTATCCGTTACATCTATATTTACCAGAGCATTGAACATGAAGAATTGATGCTGAAAAATTTCATTCCATTAAATAAAGCTCTTCGCGTTGTAAAATTTAAAATCATACCAACAATCTGTTGTTCGAAACAGGATAAATATAGAAAAATGAATTAAAAGCTTAAGAATCCAATGATGTTTAGAAACTTAATAATACTGTAAATTGTACTTGTGTACCTTGCTTATTCATATTTGTATAATTTCTCATAGCTCTTTATATTTCTGTTTTGTTCTTAACAAACCAACTCCAAAATTTTATGTCTGATATTGAATACATATTGAATCACCCCGAATCTTCAATGTGCGTACCATCTTTATGCCGATGACTTGCAACTCTATTATCAAGCCTCGACAGACGACATAAATGGGGCCATTTCTATGGTTAACAATGACCTGGAGGCTATTAGCAGTTGGGCTGATGGGTTTGGTTTGGCAGTGAATCCAGCGAAATGCCAAGCCATCATCATAGGCAGTCCGCGCATGACTGGAAGGATGGATCAAAAGAAACTGCCACCCATTACTTATAACGGCACAGTCATTCCCTTCAGTCCCTCTGTTAAGAACCTAGGCCTATTTATCGACTCCAAGCTCAGCTGGTAAACCCAGGTCACCAGCGTTAGCCAGAGAGTCACAGGTACGCTACGAGCCTTCTATCTGCTTAAAAACTTCCTTCCTTCCGAGACAAAAACGATGCTAGTCCAGACTCTTATTGTCCCTATCTTGGATTATGGTGATGTATGCTATTATGACCTGAATGCAGATCTCCTCAATAAATACGACCGCCTTCTGAATAACTGCATTCGATTCGTCTTTAACCTTCGCAAACACGACCATGTTTCCTCCTCTCGTCGTGGATTGAACTGGCTCACGATTCGTCAGCGCCGTCAGCTGCACGCCCTCACCACCCTCTATTCCATACTCAACTCACCTATTTCCCCTTCCTACCTAACATCCTCATTTCATTTTCTATGTGCCAATCACAACAGAACTCTCCGTTCATTAAACAATCCACTTCTGTTATGCCCCACTCATACTTCCGCATGTGTCCACTCTTCGTTCTTAGTCCAATCTGTCCTCCTCTGGAACGCTCTGCCTTTGGAAATCAGGATAGCACCCAGTCGCCTCTCATTTAAGACGAAAGTCCGAGCTCGAATTCTCGACACTTTAGCAGACTCATCACATCCCTAAAGTCTTATATGTTTTTATGTTAGTCTTGTATGTATTACTCAGCAAGTATATATATGTATGTGTATCTCAGTATGTATGTAACCTAATTTTAATTTCATGCACCTACTCAGACATTTCCCTACCACCCAAAGGTAGACTGGGAGAAAATGCCTTTGGCATTAAGTCCGCCATTGTACTTTGTTTGTGCAAAAAGAATTAAAATAAAATAAAATAAAGTCTATGATTACAAAAACAATTTAGTTCATATCTAATTTATTGCAACTGTCACCTTGCTGCTGTGGTTACATTACATCGCAAAATACAGTTGTGAAAATGTATTTCCAAATATTGTAAATGTTTTTTCCAATACGTGTTGTAGTTACGAGTATGTAATTCAAATTGTTTGCCCAGCCTTGTGGAAGACAGTGCCATTAGCATATCTGTTTCGTGGGTTGAAGACTAGTTAATAACCAACTAATATTTAGAAGCATTGTGTGGCCATAATACAAAACGAGAACGAACATCAAATTAATTAAAATGACGAATTAGCTTGATACTACGAGTATATTAAAAGTTTAAAAACATTGCTCTTAGCAATAACGGCCGCCCTTTGTACATCACATGTCTGATATTTTTATGTACCATACTACTTGTAAAACGGTGTACAAATAAAAAGTTTTCTATCTATCTATCATTATTCTACATAATTTAGTTTTGACTTGGTTTAATACATAAAGTTTGAATCATCTCTGGAAGGTTAAAGTTCTCTACAAATTAGCGGACGTGTCCGTGTTCTTAACTACAATTACGAAGCCAGCACCATTTATACTAAGTCATCCTGCTTTCATTATGTCGCAAGTTAAACAAAGGGCCGTTCATATAACACGGAGCTTTCAACCGAGTGCACGTATAGTTAAATCTTTCTAATGCTTAAACATTTTGAATCCATCCGAATCTAGTAATCAGTGTTTCTATTAAACAAACTTCGATGAAGGTCCTTTGATGCAAATAAAATTGACTATTACGCTTGAAAGTCCCCGACTGGGTGGCCATTGTAGTCGAATCAATTAACTTTCTCGAACTGTTTGACAGTTGCTCTTTCCATTTCCGCGCCAGTACATTTGGACCGTAAAGTTGGAAAATATCCATCATAAATTGTCTATCTCTTTTGTTATTCTAAGCATCCAGTAACGTTTACGCGGTTCACAATTTTCATTTCAAACAATAAATTACTTGACGGAATTGCGAAGCATCTGTTTCATTTTCATTTGAATATTTTTTCTTATCATATTCGAATTGAAATTCATTGACCTAAATTATATTGTTCGTTTTGGTAATGTAATCTCGTAATATCGTATGCTATTTTTGTTCAACACAAATGGAAATATAGTATTTAATTAATAAAATTAAATTAAATTCGATTTTGTCAAACTATATCATAATTATAGTAGGCCAAAACCTCCTTTCTAAGGAGAGGCCTATGTCCAGCAGTGGACTAGTATAGGCTGTTGATGTGTGATGTGATGATATCATAATTCGAATATAAATTTTAAAATGGCCATATTATTCATTTTAACTTCGTAACGAGGTTTTCGCATCACATAAGTATTGTAATTCAAATGAGCAGTTTTGACAATAATTGCTTTTCTTTTGGCCTAGATGCGATAAATGTACACACAATCATAGAATCCGCGGCCTCACTTATCACGTTTAATAACACTTTTTTAAGACACAATGGGCAAATAAGGAACACATAAACTTAGAATATATACATGTAGCTTCGTCCGTTTGTTTTGTATTTGACAACTATCATTATCGTGAGCAGTTCAAATAATGTTGCAATATTCTTTATCAATTGATATGGGTGGCGTTAAGTTGTTGACTGATTTGTTTATGTGTGAGACACAAGGTTAACAAGGATTTGGTTTTAAAAGTTAATTATTAAATTATTATATTTTATAAAGTCTTATTGTGGTAGATGGTTTAAAATAGAGTAGGAAATGCTTTGTAAAGGATGATTTTGTTAAACTAATACGTGATTTGGTAAGTTTAAATTAGCTTTCCTTCTTTGCGTTGTTTAAGTTGTCAATACGAAGTATATAACTAGTCTTCGTTGATGCACGATAAGTCAAGAAACAGAGGAATACTTCAACTATATGGTTTGTATGAAACCATTAGTTTCATATTCTTTCACCTATTGTCTTTCGACTAATGTTCAGCGTCGACCGTCTGCGCCTTGAACTTTCGACTAATACAAAGAATAAATTGTTGTTATGCTTATCGTATTAATCTTGAGGAATAATTTTGATATCAATAAATATCGAATAATTGTTGTAAAGTTCTAATTATAAACATACGATACTACCAACACACTGCTAATAGATTTAATCACTCCACATTAACAAACAATAACACCCAACTAACAACACTCTGTGATGCGAACAATCAGAATGAACTACATTTGTCTTCATCACATAGATCCAAATAGTTATACCTTGTAATTTCATGAAAGAGAACTTCACTAATGAATGAACTTCAGTAACGCGTCGGAGCACGATTATGATTAGAAAATTAACAAAAAGAAATCGCCTTTGAGACGTAATCGATCGATCGATGTGCTAACTTGTCTGTTAAGTAACTAATTAAATTATGAAGCGAATTCAGTTGCAGACATTTGTAGTTAGAAGTTATTATAAAAGAAGCTCGTAAGTACAGACAAAGTAGTGAGGCAAATTTATTGCCTTCTGACTTTAATACTTGATTTAAGAATATGACTGTACGTAGAGTTTAAATTGTAATGTACGTAGGTACGAGTATATCATACGGTACAAGAACTTGTAGTAATACAGTAATTTACATTTTGCAAATAGTAAGTACAACGCTCAAAGTCCTTCCTTTGTATTAAACTATTGCCTTCTGTTGACAGTAAAAAGCAATAGTGGCTGATGACCCTTGACCCAGATTGACCTCTCAATGAGAGCTTCTTGAGATGTTCGCAAAAGAGCTTCGACATCAGTTACGAACACATTGAACCGGTTCTTGTACATATGTATATATTTGTTATTCAAACACTTGTTTGCATGTATTACTTCTATATTTGTGTTTCATAGCACAGGCTTTGCGTGTGTAAGTTGTGTGAGGTTATATTATTAATAATTACCTATTACTGATATTATTAAAACGTCTGACTAAAACACTTTTGATATTATGGTTTAAGACATTTATTTCCTTAAAATAATATTTACATTCGTTTGTCAGTGAAAATACAAGATAAATATAAATATATGATTGAGCGGCGTTTGAATTACATATTATTGTTTTTACATGTAAGTAAATAATAATGTAAAAAGTTTAATTAATAAATAAAGCCATCACAAAACAAACCCAGCCGGACCCACGCTTTCCGAGAGTACCAATATTGCAAGTTGTAAACAGGTATATTATGGCCGTATTACGTATTGTTTATCGATTGCTATCATACGTGACTGTTATCGTAAGTTAAATTTTGAGATTTTATGTTTGTATACCAATAATATATAGCCTACTTTTCTTTAATTTTAAAAGTATTTTTATTATTATCGGTAGTTTTTTATTAGTTAATTCATATACTTTACTTTACTACTACAATATTTACTTTATCAAAAAAAAAGTTTTAATAAGTTTTTTTTAAATTGATTATTTACTAAAGTTTGACACTGTTCATCTTAGAATTTCTTCGATAAAAATGTATAAGTTGTGTATCACTGTTTATTTATTTATGTCTTTCGTTAACAGTGTTGCTTAGAACAACAGTCATGTTTAGGTGATTTGTTTCAATTTTTAAACGCAACTAACTATTGTTTTGCACATTTCGAGTTAGTTGTAGCTCGAGCGGAAGAAGTTAATTGGACCCAAAGTTGTTAACAAACTTCCTCTGAATATAGTGTATATTTACAGCTTTACTACGGTCATGTTATGCCTCGGTTTCACAATATGAGGGGGAAATAATTTTGTTCAATCAATCTAGTTTCGACGGAAACACCATAAGTTATAGGCAATCCATACCCCTTCCCTATGCACGAAGACTCACATATCGCTGGATAGAAAGCTCCAATGCGCAGAAAACAATATGCAAGCCGTGAGTTTTAATATTTTATTGGTCTGCGAGATATGTAGAATATCTCTGGAATATTACAGGAAATTGAAAATACTTTATATTGGGTAAGAGGGATAGTATAATAGGTTATTGCAAAGTTAAGCTATATTGTATCTTTGGTACTAAGGATAAATTTAGTACATACATAAGAGCTGAGTAAGCATGTCCTTTGTTCATGAAAGGCTACTGACGCAACATAACAATCCGCATGTAAGTCTTTTTCGAAAGGGTCAGTCTGAATAATATATTACATTCGGATTTTGAACCTTTTATCATCGAAAGGGCACTTTACAAACTCTGACAGATCTAAAATAGCGCTTACTAGGCAACTTTGCTTAGGAGTGCCGAAATTACTTTTTAAGAATATCCAAATAAAAGCGAATGAATGAAAAAAGAATGAAACTCATAAAATATTTCTTTTAATCTCCACATTTATGAGAGCGTACTTAAGGTACCTTGTTTTAACAAGTCAGTCAAAATATTGTCTATTTAGTAACAGTTCTAGTTAAAGCACAGTAATAGTCTAAGCAGACTTCAAAAATTCAATCTTTATCCAATCGACTAGCTTATATCGACTAGCTGCACTCCGCGGTGCTACCCGCGATTGTTGTTGTACATCCCACGGGAACACTACATTTTTTTCGGGATAAAAAGTAGCTTATTCCACTCTTTAAAATATCTCTGTGCCAAATTCAACGAGATCCGTCAAGCTGGATATTTTTATATTTTAGGGACCCTATTAAACTTCAGTAACATTTTTTAAATCTTAAGAAAAGTAAAATAAAATTGAGTTTTATTCCTTATTTAAGAAAAATCGATAATATCTTACATCGATTTTTGAGATTCTCTATACAAACTTCCACCCCTCTTTTCAACCCCAACAGGGTTAACAAATTGGTCAAAAATGCATAAACATTATTTGTAACGAAAAGTTAAATGATAAAACTCTTACAGTACTTTTTTATTGATCGATAAGAACTATTCTATATCCTTCTCTACAACTCAAACTCTCTCCATACCAAATTTCATCTAAATCGGTTCAGCCGTTATTGATTGCCCATAAAAACTTCCACCCCTCTTTTCACCCCCTCAACGGGTGATTTATGGGATGAAAACTCCTATGTCCTTTCCCCGGACTCAAATTATCTCTATACCAAATCTCATCTAAATCGTTTCAGCGGTTTAAGCGTGCGGAGATAACAGACAGACAGACAAACTTTCCCATTTATAATATTAGTATGGATTAGGATGTATAAATGCTAATTGCGGACCTCATGTCGATAAATATTAAGCCGATATTTTTTTAATCTGCATTAGACTTAGAAAATATAAGAATATAGAATCCATTGACCTCGACTGAATTGTCTTACGACTCACTGTGACCGGTAAACTATTACTTCGACCAGAATTCTGAATCGAATAAATAACATCCAGAAATTCAGTGTGAATTGCTAGAATTTTATATAAGATTACATTGCATGGCAAGGCTGTATAACAAAAGGACTATGCCAGTGGAAAACATGAATATATTCTCCATGACATTCACATCATACAGACATTCCATACGAAGCCATGGTGCCTTTTTTTTACGGGAAAATTGAAAGGAAAGGGTCCCGCGCTGTCCACTCGTTTCTAGTTTCTAGTTTTGGTCTTATGTTTGTGTGTGTATCTCTATGTATCTAATTAGCATTTGCATAAAAAATCTTTACATTGTAAGTATACTAAGTGTCATGCATATCTATTATCTGTTAAATTACGTGATTTTAAAATTAAGAAAATATTATCGCCCCGTGATGTAATTATGCTGCTACTGTGCTTAATATAAATAAATAAATTACACATGATTTTTAAACTCGTTTTTTACGTTTGATACTCATCTTCGTTCTAATAGAATATTTTGGTAAATATTATGAATTCCTGGGACGAAGTAGGAAAATTATTCGTTAACTTCTACTTTACCTAATTAGAAGTTTACAAATAGTTTTCCTATGTTAATTTGCGTAGTTAAAGAGTTTTATATATTGTAGAACCTCGGTTCCATTAATATATAATAATTAAAAAATATATATATATGTTTACCAATATTGAATAATAATATATTTAGACATCTGACACACAACGCCATCAAGTTTCAAACTAAGCAGAGCTTGTACTATGAAAGCTAGATTGACTGATACAATACCTATATTCGTTTTTTGTAAATACATACATATTAAACATAAAAAGCACCCTGAAACAAATATTTGCAGATCATACAAACATATGGTCCAACCCGGGAATAGAACCCGATACCTCGGCAGTCATATACGCTACCACTTCGTCACCGAGGCAGTCAAACCAAACTTTCAATTTTTTACAAAGGATACTCGAACTTTTTATTTAAGTTTCTTAAAACAGTGTAATTGAAGTATATAAGTACCTCCAATAATTTTTATGTTTGAATATTTTTTTTAGTTTCTCTTTTTTCGATAATTAAATTGTATAAACTAGTATTAAATCTATAAACTATATGAACTGGTATTAAATCTAGTATGACAGTAAAACTCTTTTCTCTGTAAATTTATTGTCCAATTTTTTAAGGGAAAGCTATTATTCTGGAGAGTTTAAACTAAAAGCCAAAAATAAAGTCACGTTTTCTAGAAGCTCTTATCAAACTATTATTGTGTTAATTATTAGTATTATAATTATTGTTTTTTAAGCGTATTCTAAAATAAACTTTATGGTTACTTAAGACAATTCTCCGCAATTTTTTTTTGTATTCGCCATTTCCTTAAATTAGGATACAACATGTTACTGTATTAACTGTAACATTATTAAAAAGACCCAAGTGATCCCGCTGCTTTGTAAGGCGGCCAAGGTTAGCGAGGCTTCTCAGGGATTTCCTTTGTAGGTTATACGTAGGACTAAATCCACAGTCCCCTGTAACAAAGCACCGAGTTTAAAATAACCGCTTGATCCTAGCCCTTGACGGATACACAAAAACACTAAGAAATATTCTAATAGATATCTGTCTGTTTATAAAAAAGTGTATTTTAAGCGCGCATTTGCACATATTTTTTTTTAATAGCGTATTGAAAATTGTTGTAGAACCCTTGCGATGACACACGGCACCGCCGCATCTGGTCCAAGAGCAAATGGTGTAGCACTCTTCCCCGAGTGCTAGTAATCGGGCCTCAAAAGACTGGTAGTACGGCCCTCTATACGTTTTTGGCTATGCACCCGTCTCTCGTACCAAACTTGCCAAGCCCTGCCACTTACGAGGAGTTACAGTTCTTCAACAACAACAACTATCTGAAAGGATTAGACTGGTAAGTAAAAAGTTCGATTGTCATACTTGTTTTTTTGTGATTTTATTTATATGAACCTCCACTCATAGAGAAAAAGAGTTTACAATTGTTATCTCTTATTTATCGCTTAAATGTGTGATATGTATAATCATGAAATGTCACTGATGTCGATTAGTTGTCACATCGACCACGGGAAGTACGCGGGGTCCTCGCCATTATTATTATTTTAAAAACACAACTCCCGCATTAGGAATATATCCTGTGTCGCGGGGGACTTTACAAACATAGATGAAACGGACACAAAGAACACGCAGACTCAGAACAACAATTCGTGGATCACACAAAGTGTCGTTCCATGTGGGGTTTGAATTTTGGTTGTCATAATAAGAAAGCGATGTGTGTCCTTATTTAATCGCGCGAGGGGCAGTGCTAACCTGGTGGCGTTATCAAACCGGTGGGATTTCCCCCTATTTAAAAGGTGGATGGAGCTCCACACAGTCAAAAATACTGTAATTAAATTACATTGTGTATCTTCCTAACAATACTTTTTAAGTGAAATATGTATACTAACAACTCTGGGCTTGTACCGAAATTAACTTATTATTATTAGTTTCTAAGTACAACAGTATACATTATCTCGCCACAGAATAGCTGATGAATACACTTGGATTGAAGAAGTCAAATAAGAGAAGGAGAAATTTTCTTTTAATACTTGCTTGTAAAACTTTTTTTTTTTTTTTTTTTTTTTTTTAAATAAATACCCAGTGTATTCATGAAATTCACGGTCTGTCAATTACGAGGTGACAAACCACCTCAGTATATTTAAGTTAGTCAAAAAGAGCTAAAATAAATTTCAATTAATGTGCCGTGTTCTATTTAGACTCAAGTTACGGAAACAATTTAATTTGAAGAGTACATTATACCATATCTGCGCAAATTTAAATAAATTACCCGCGACGAATTTCACTTTTTCCTGCAATTTGCAATGCCAAAAAGGTTGACTTCCAGGAAAAAGTTAATTTAAAAAATAAGATATGTATCTGCGAGAGCGGGTTAATTATCCTATTTACTTTATTGTTTATCCGTGTTTTTAATAAAAATAAAATTTCAAAAGGCGAGCATCATTAACAACAACAACATTACTCGCGTTGATCTAAAAAAAAAAGTTGACTGAATTTTTTTTTAAGTCTAACCTAATAACATTGGTGACGTGAACATATATTTAAAAGAGAGGATATTATGAATGAGAACAAGAATAAAGGAAACGCGTGCTAGAAATAAATGTGGTGGTTTTAGGAATGAAACGAGGTACCCTAGGCTAATTAGAAGTAAGCTTCGTTTAATTAATAATTATTTTATTCGTCGGATAAAGAAATATTGTAAATTAATTGTGCTTGTTATAATAAAGTATATAAGTATTCTATCAGTCAATCTAGCTTTTATAGTTCAAGCTTTGCTTAGTTCGAGGGTAGAATGGCATTTTGTGTCAGATGTTCGAAATATTGTATTATTATTAATAACAGGGTTTATGAGTGGTAAAGTCATGCATCGGTACGTATTGGCCAGAAAAGTGATACCACGACCTTATAAAGAACCGGTGCTATTTCAATTCAGCAATTCTTTGGTTGCGTTTCACCGAGTGTGTGACGTAACCGGAGGCCCAATCCTCAATAATTATGGGGGATCTCAAACCACTTGTGTCTCTTTAGTTGGAGGTGTCCATCGACGGTGTTAGTCTTTAACCATCAAACAACAATTGTTACAAGTTACAAACGTACAATTGTTATTAATTGTGTCACGAGAGCGGCGACTTTTAGATAGACCAATTACCGTCTAACTACTAGCGCAAGTGGCGCTAGCAAGTATAAAACATTTAAATTATTTATGTGAAATTGATTTCATTTATATATATTACGGGCTTAGTAAACTTATAAACCGAAACAATTAATTAATGTTTAAAATAGTTCGGTCCACGTCGTTTCGAACCGAACGTGACCTTGTAACTCGTGAAACTAGGGAGTTTCGTATCTGGTCATACCCAAGTACCTTTTTTTCATAAATTAAACCTACTAATATTCATCTGTACTTGACGATATATAAAACGAGCCCTGATAAAGAACTTTGTCTATATAATAAACAATGACAGAAGAAAACCCTGTACAATATTTAACGGACAACTACTTTTGCTGATATTATGAATGACTCTGACACCCCTGATTTTCTCCGATACGATTACAACACTAGTAAACAAGTAGTGTTATTTAGCTGCGGTTTTTCGTTGCGTTCCCCCTAGTCAATCTGTTACGGTAGCAAATTTAAACGGGTATCTCTATTAGCAATTACGTTTCCCATTTGCTTGTGTAATCGTTGCAATTAAAACAAGAGACAAAATGACTAGTTGTGTACTAATTTGGGAGTATCAAATGATGTACATCTAGTCATAATTGGCATAAAAGCCACTTGGATAATTGACGCTCCATCACGAACTACTAAATTGTGGAACGGGTTATCGGCTGTGGTTTTTTAGGACAGATACGACCTTCAAACCTTCAATAAAAGAGCATACTCTTTCCTCAAAGGCCCGGCAACGCGCTTGTGACTCCTAAGTTGCAGGCGTTCATGGGCGGCGGTAGTCGCTTTTTTCATCAGGTGAGCCGTCTGCTCATTTGCCCCCCTATTCCATTAAAATAAAATTAAATGTAGGGAAAGTTTTTAATTACAGTTTACATAAAAGGAAAAAAACTGTCGCGAAAAAAGATAAAAAATCTTGGAAGCGGGTCGTAGGTATATCATGTCAAAATTTCGGCTCAATCAAGACAGCACTTATGAGTTTTTGACATAAAACAACCTGACATCGTTATGTACATATAGATAAATAATAAATTTGGCACTAGTTTCTCTAATTATTTCCATACTGTAAAAAAGTTACAACGATTACCTTAGATAAAACACGTCATTCGTTAAACGTAAAAAACAGACCAGTTTAGCAGTTATTGCTGATCTAATTACTTAGATCAAATTTAGTATTTACTTTATCACGTTATGAGATCAACCGTTGTTAAAGTTCTAATAAAATACAACCGTAATACGTTGTATTTTATGAACGCATTTGCAGTTAACATTTCAAACTTTGTTAATGTACGTTCGTTAGAAGTTTATGACCTCAAAAGCTGTGGTCAAGATTGAAAAGCCGTAAGTACTAAACGAGTTGCAATAGCATAGTGCAAATACCAGAGATTTAGCTGTGACTCAATTGGTTTCTACTCTATAATGTTATTGTATCGTTTTATTTCCATGATTTTTACCCACTCACGTAACCTTCCCTTTTAAAAGAAGTACGGTATTCTCGTTCACATTAAAAAAAACATTTACTCTTTTAATTCTATGGCACAGCAATAGTCATTTGTTGTCCTATAACTCGTGCGCATATGTGGTGAGATTATCGAATTGTTTTATATTATCTTTTGTATTATCTAAGGGTATTAGTAAAATCTTAGGGTAAAATAAAACTAAAGCTGTCAAACGGAATACATCTACTCCAAGAGTATCTATACTTATTGTTTATATTGTAATATTAGTCAAGCTGTCAGAGGTAAGAAGCTTGCTAATAGTACACTGAGCATGATCATTGCAATAATTTTTATGATGTTGTAGATCCTGTAGCTTCGCTTTAAAACAAACTCGGATAAAATTGTCGTCCACAGACAGCAGTAATGCTTTTAGCGGATGCTTTTAATGTGCATATAATGGTAGGGTTGTTGATGAATGATAATGTTTTCTTTGTAATGTTTAAGATTCCCAGAGACACTTTGTTTTCAGTTTTAAATCTTTCAGATTAAGTACGCACGCAGTGATCGCACTGCTTGGCACAATGTGTTTCTTATTTTAGTAAACATTTAGAATATATTTATAAAAATGAATTCTCGTTTCTTATTACAAGCATTAACGAATTTAAAATTACAACTACAAAACTTAGAAAGAATGAAGAAATACTTACAATACTATGACTTAGTACTGCTCTTTGAATTCCGCAGATTAGCTGTAGGTAATTTGCTTATTTAAAAATTAGGAATAAAAAAGAAGAACCTACGTAATAACAGTTCACTTCTAGATACCCCTGATTGATGTTATACATATTACCTATGATGGATTTCTAACGGTGTAAGATAAACTTTTCTTTACATTTCAGAACACTTATTAGGTATACGAGTAGTGTTACGATATGTAAAAAGGTAAAAGTTTTTTCAACTAGAATCATTTCTCTTTTCCACCTTTGTTAAAAGATGGGTACTATCGCAAATAATGTAATATTCCACACATCTCACGCACGGCTGTCAGATCCCAAACTAGACAGAGCCTGCACGATGGTAACCAGACTGCTAATAAACATACCTCAGCCTATGCTTGTCCACTGCTGGTCATAGGCCTCTCCCAATGATTTCCAGCGGGGACGGTTGTTTGCGGCCTGCATCCAACGGTTTCCGGCAACCTTTACCAGGTCGTCCGTCCATCGGGTAGGCGGTCGTCCCACACTGCGCTTTCCAGTACGTGGTCTCCATTGGAGAACCTTGCTGCCCCATCGGCCGTCAGTTCTCCTTGCTATGTGCCCTGCCCATTGCCACTTGAGTGCGCTAATCCGTTGGGCTATGTCGACCACCTTTGTTCTCCTGCGGATCTCCTCGTTGCGGATTCGATCACGCAGGGAAACGCCAAGCATAGCCCTTTCCATAGCACGCTGAGCGACTCTGAGCTTTCTGATTAGGCCCATAGTAAGAGACCACGTCTCAGTTCTGTCTTACCCCTCTCTGTAATGGAATTGCCTTCGTGTAATGGTCCTGTACTCGAACTGACATATTGGCGTTATTATACAAACACTTCAATACCTCGATGTGCCGATAGTCAATACGGCTCCGCTGGAGAGACCTAAAGACTGCCCAAGTTTCGATCGAATCGAAGGCTTTCTCATAGTCCACAAACGCCAAGCATAGTGGCCGATTATACTCCTCGGTCTTCTGTATAATCTGCCGCAGCGTATGTATGTGGTCTATGGTACTATAGCCTTTTCGGAAACCGGCTTGTTCGGGAGGCTGGAAGTCATCAAACCGACGTTGGAGACGATTCGTGATGACTCTTGAAAACAGCTTGTAGACATGGCTCAGTAGTGTGATGGGCCTGTAGTTCTTCAATAAGGTATTATCGCCCTTCTGAAGAAAAGTACCACCACACCCCTTCTCCATGACTTTGGCGTGTGTCCCTCGAGCAAGACGGAATTGAAGAGCTTCTGGAGGACCTTGAGCACCGGTTTGCCACCCGCTCTCAGAAGCTCAGATGTGATTCCGTCATCGCCCGGTGCCTTGTTATTCTTAAGCTGTTTCAGAGCCATCCCAATCTCGTACTGGCTGATGTCCGGGATATCTTCGGTATAATATCGCGTTAGCCTTGCTCTAGGGTCTTTAGCTGGGCTACTAGCAGGCTTTGCGGTTAAGGTATACAAGTGTCGATAGAACCTCAAAATAAACATAGACCTCATAAACCTCATAAACATAGTAAACATAAACATAGTAACAACATAAAAATCACAAACATAAACATAGTTACATATTTTTAAATACATACATATTATAGATAAATGACACCCAGACACAGAACAAATAACCGTGTTCATCACATTATATTTGTCCTGGGTGTGAATCAAACCCACGATCTCCGGCTTAGCAGTCAGGGTCACTAACCACTAGACCAACAGGCCCGTCAAATGTTTTATTCGTGTTTTTTAAATTATATGACAATATGGAAGTTCCTTCTCAGTTACTGTCTTAGAGTACTGTCTGTTATGAAATCATAAGTATTATATAATATATGTTACGTCACAAGAACGAAGGTTAACTATAGGTGAATAAAATGTTCTAAGACATGGATATTTCTAACACCTGCTACATAAATCATACATAAATCGACATCAGCATTTTCATTTGAAAGTTCCTCGAAGTTCATGTATGAATAGTGAGTCAAATCTCATGTATTGCAAATGTACAGCTTAGATCGGCTAGACCTCGACCATACGAAGCACGTAGGCAACCTTGTTAACCGCACGTGGTCTGTTAACAGACGTACTTTATATCCTCTGACTGAGAGTATTCTGTTTATAGCCTACATTCCAGAGGTTAAATACCAATCTATATTGCCAGCAAACTCACTAATAGAGTTTTAATATTGGTTTTGTCCTACTTTTAAAACTTCTAGTTTGCTTAAAAGTCCATCCAATTAGCCTATATTATAGTTACTCTTTTTCTGAGTTTGCCTTATTTGTCCGTTTTATCACTGATAGCCCGAAATAATGTTATATGAGATGCAATTGTATTAATAAATCAAATTGTTCACTAGGTACCTGAACTTCTTCCCACCGAACTTGAGCAACAGCTCACAGATGACGTTTGAAAAGTCGGCTACCTACTTTGACGGTGATCTGGTGCCAAGACGGGCGCACGCTCTAGTACCCAACGCTAAGATCATTGCTATACTTATATCACCATCTAAAAGGTAAGAAAACATAATAATCTTTTTTTTTTATTAATATAAGTATCTTATTATTGTAAAATATAACTTATAAATATTAGTTAAAGTCTATATGTACCTACCCACCACTACACACATAAATCGCTATAAAGTTTTCACTTCACTGAACTTCACTTTCACACTTAACTGAATGTACTCTAAAATTATTTGTTACTTAAACTACTGTAATATTTATGTAATGAAATGAATAAAATCCCTACCCGTCAAGATAACTTATAATTTGTACCCAGTAGGAAGGATATTCTATTTAGTTACGTAATCAACTAGATTTATGACTCTAATTTTGCCCAAATATATCCGCTTCTAGATATTTTGCCTTAATTTCATTATGGAAGATGCCCAGATATGAATTCTAGTTTGTGTTAGGGTCAAAACCAAAAAAATTCTGTAACTACTAGTTATTGTTCTGCTCTGTATGGAAGAGAAAATGATCTTGAAAATATACTTGGTAAAATAAAATTTTGTTTAGTAATGTAATGGACGCTTCTTAAAGCCAATACATCGTGTTAACGGCGTATAATATTGTAAAAGGCATTAAGAGCATAGTAAATCAACGAAATATATTCTAATTCTCGTAATTATTTTTAGTGTGCCGGTTATTGTACTCATTTCTATCGCAGTTATTTATAAGATAATAAAATTCTAATTGAGTGCTTCTGTACCTTTTATCGGGTACAGTTAGACTTTAACTTCGTTAACTTAACAATTTCGAATTACGAAATTGTAGAAACTAAATTTCGTTCATTTAAATTTCGTAAAGTATGTATATAAGTGCATAGTTCATAAGTAAAGTAAGTATAGCATAGCTCTATTTCCAGAATTTGCAATCTTAAGGAATCTTTAAAAACTCTTTTAAAAACTTACTTACTTTTTTATTTTTTGAGAATTTTCCTGAACTGTTTATCGAAAGTGATTTAGTAAAAGCTATCCTAGAAGCAAGATGTCATAGATATGGCGTGACGCCTGCTTGAAATTCTAATTGTAATTAAAAGATAAAGAAAATAAAATGTCACCTAAACCAACCAGCATTGTGTACAATTTATATGCAAATTAAAAACTGAATTATTATCACGGAAGTTTTCCTGAAAATACTGAGGAATAAATTCCCCTAACCTTTTATTTCGTTTACGCCAACTGTGAATAAACTTTATACTAATATACATTTGTCCTGAAGTTCTATTATGTCTTTATGCTAGTTTATCCAATATTACATATCTTTAATAATTCTTAAGAAAATCTATTTAAAAATTGAGTTTGTGGGTATAATGTAATCTAAAACTTATAGCATCAAATAATTCTCAAGAGAAGTTTTAGAAATAAGAAAATAGTAAAATGTTTAAAAAACAATCAACGACCAATGGCATCAAGGCAGTTATGAGACACATTGAACTACCTAATATTTACCGTAATTCTGCACCCATGTGAACTGTGGTACATACATTAATATTTATATCTAAATATTTACTCCGAAACAAAAATCCATATCATACCTATGTTAGGTTTTCATAATGTTTTGTTTAACTATTAAAAAGTGTTATTATTTATTACACATAGATGTGGTTTCTTCTACTTACATTACTAATTTGTCGCTTTTGATAATTCATGCACATGTTCTAAATAAAAGTAGAGGTGTTAGGGTAAAATACAATTTGATAGATGGCTTTGATTTAATCATAGTACTTTAGTTTAGGGCTATTAATAACTAGTATTTAATGTTCTCTATTACTGGCCAAGTAAGGTATTAGTGGTAAACAAGACGATTAGACACGAAACCGGGAGTTAGAATGAAATAATCGTTTAGGTACTTACCTACTGAAATAGAAAATAAACTATTCAATTAAATTGGTATTTACAGAATAGTTAATCCATGAAACAGCCATCTTGTAAATATTGATTTATTTTATTCATTCATATTTCATAAAGGTGGGTGTTCTCAATTCGTTTTTTTTATAATTTTTTATCTCGGAACTCGTTTGTGAACCGAATTCGAGGTTTTTATTTACATTGTACGTTGATCTTGACCAATATCGGTTAGGCTACACGATGGCTGGAGCCTGTATGCCGTCTGTATGGACAGGTTGACTCAAAACTATGGTTCTTTCCTCAAAAGGCCTATCCAGACCCTATACTGTACTCGCACAGTTTTATTTAACTTTGTTTACGGACTTAAAAAAAAAAGACACCTCTGTGGTTTGTTTCGGCGTTTCTTCCCAGAGTGAGTCTTAGGAAATGCCGGCTCCTTCTAGCTATAAAGTCCGACTTGTAAAAATATCTGAAAAGACTTACTTACAGAAATAAATATCATTTCATTTCATTCAAGTTTGAAGAAAAAATACCCCTAAGGGTGGAAAATAAGGTGTAGGCCCATTAATGTATTTTTTTTTATATATATGCCATTGTTCGTTTTTATTAAGTAGGTTATAACATAATAATAAATTGAAATGGAAACAATTGAAAGAGACACACACATACGTGATGTAATCATTACAACAACTGAATTGAATAGTTTTAATATTGAATTGTTATTTAATCTCTCTCCCATATTAATACACTACACTATTATAAACATCCGTAAGAAAACATTTTCATCAAAATAATATTTTTTAAATCAGTGGGTGGAGAAGTTACGCAGCGTGTTCTAAATATTTAATCAAATGATTAAGAATATATATTATTGGCAAGCAACCCGAATTCGTGACACCAATAATGAGGCAACGTAAAAGATATTTCTAAAAGCAGTTGTCGTTTTTATTCACTGTGAAAGCCACTAAGCTTCTGAAGCATGTAAATATGTTTATAATAAAATTTTATTTGATAATAAAATCAATAGAAAATTAACTCTCTATAGTTTATAGGTTTAATATCAATTTCACAGCTAATAACGATCGACGTCTTCTATTGACTACAAGTTAATCATCGTTCCCACGGATAAAGGCCTTTTGTTTGTAACTGATGTCTTTTATACATATTTAAAAAGTCCAGAAGTTAATTTATTAATTATTTTTTTTGTATAAAACCGCAATCAAGCTCAGACTGAGTTTAAAATACGGCTATTATACAAATAGGTCGTAACGAGCTTACGTATCTCGTTAGATAGTTATTTACCTACCAGCTCACTAAAAAACAAAACAAAATATTGTATATAAAGCAGATAAAAGCGTAAAAGTTTATATAAAACTACAGTTTTTATTAAACAGTTCGCCGACTTCTCTATTTATTCAGAGATGCCTGGTTTATACTGAGTTTGTAAGGGTATTATTTAAATTTATATTAATACAATATAACCACAGTATACAATATATTTAATATTTTCAATCGTCATTACCCTTTTTGGGCAAAATAACATCATTACTAAAGCTTTACTATTTAAAGCTAGTCGTCTGCCTTAAATAATGAATATTAATACTAAAATAATATACATGTCTGTTAAATGATTTTTCTTGTAAATTTTCGTGTTTTCACAAGCTCACATAAGCGACGTTAAATAGGTTCGACTAAAAAGATCTCTATGAGCAAAAAAATTGTACGTATGTTTATAAACAATCAAAGGGATCAATGTGAGTTTTGACCACTCATTAAATAAAGCAATTCTGTAGGGTTCTCTGCAACGGTTATAAAAATAACACTCCCGCCGGGCTGTAGCGAACCGTTGTAATCACTACTTATACCTAATGTAATTGGTAACTCAAATAGTCAACCTGTGACCACGCCAGTGCAACCTGATTAAAACGTCAGGCAATTTTAAAGTTATACACGAACCTATTATTTTCCGCGTATTACACGGAATTAATTGTTGTTAGTAATTAGTATTTTAGTGAAACAAAATTGCAGAGTTACATAGACGTTAACAGTTAGTAGTGTAGGAGGCCATGATAGAAATACATAATGTTAAAACTTTCGTTATTATCAGGGCGTACTCTTGGTACCAACACATTCGGTCGCACGGTGACGTGATCGCAAATAACTACACTTTCCACACCGTTATCACAGCGAATGACTCCGCGCCGAAACCCCTCCGGGATCTCAGGTAAGCTTTTTACTGTATTTTTTTAAATATGAAAATTTTGAAGCTGAAAATTATGCCATAAATATTGCAGTTAAAGCTATGCTATGTAATCCTTCATTTTTATTTTGGCAGCCTTACTTTCGCTAATTGTTTTCAAACTATTTTCGGCTGCTATCAAACAATTTATTTAAAAGAACGACACCATTACGTTATAAATCTATAAACTCCTTACCTTTGAAATATAAGTATTTGTTGTACTTACTTTTATAATATTTGTAGTTAATATATCTTCTAGTTACTTTTTAATAGAGAAAAGCGTATGTGTTTAACACTCACTCCCGACCCCTCATATTGAATAACAATTTTTCATGAAGTTCTCTTTCCTTTGTACATTAATAACACATGTAATACGTTCACTGTTTTATTATTTCTTTTTTACTTCGTACCCTTTATGTAGCCCGGGGCTTTAAATACGTTCTACTCTGGCACCAATGAATTGGGGGACATATTGATTTAATGCTTCTCGAGGACTCAACAGGCATGAAAGCGATTTAGATTGAGATTGACAGCTGTAGTTACAAGTATAATAAAGCGTCATTTCATACTTCATCGAATATTCTGGACATAACTTATATGTTTTATTTGCAACCTTTATTGTTTATTTTAATTGAAAAAAATAATAATTAAAAACAGAAAATCTAATCTTTCATTAATTCTAAATTACCTTAACGTGAGTTGAAAAATAAGGTTTGCAGATAAGGTTTTGAATACGAAATTAAATTTACGGTGTTTATGTATGTATAGAACAACATAATCCCAAACCTAAAACTGGCTAATCCCACTCAATATTATTTTGATTTACAAAACATTACTGTATTTTCATAACTTTAGCAAGATTCATGTTGTTCACTAATACCAGAACGTGCTCAAATATACAAATCCATGCAACATTAAATAAAGTCAGTTGTATTTAAAAACGTGAGCCTAAAAGATTATTGTGTGCCAGACAGGGCGTCATGAATTTATTATGAAACATCACGCGCATTTACTCCTGGAGCTAATGTACTGAAGCAGGATTATTAATTGATATTTTGTGAAATTTTCTCGTTGCTTTGCTTTTTTGCACTTCATTCACAGTCCTAAGATCTTATTGTGAATTGTTTTGATTTTATTGAACCATATGATGATGACATAAAAATTTACATAAAGTGGTAGATAGTTTTTGTTACTTGTTATCTAAAGATAGTTTGATGTTTTGTAGTTAGTGTTAAGGGAACTGAATCATATAGTCGTTTTATGTAGATCTATATTAAAATATCATACAAAGAAGCTTTAAAAAGGTTGCTTTTTAATTTAACATTATTTCGACAAATTAATTTTAAGACTTTACATAGTACTGTGTGTAAAATTTTACAGGATTTTTTTAAATGTCAAGTTCAGGAAAATATAGGTTTATCTCTGAAGTTTATTTCTCGTTTTATTTATAATTTTGTATATTATAAGCATTAACGTATATTTGTGTGACATGTAGGAAGCAGTGATTTGTATTACAAAAAAATAAAATTATGACTGGGTATAGAGAGCGCTCCTCTTATACATATTATGTAAACGGTTAAATGATTGGGGAAGAGAGTTAAAAAATAAACGTGCTGGATGATACTCACAAGGTCGTAAATTGTACCCTAATGGTCTTTACTTAAATATAGATTGATTAAGTTACCTGAAAAATTGCTTCGGCAGTAAAACATGTCCTTTTTACATATCATCTTTCTGTATTCTATGTAAGACTTATGTCAATTGATGTACAGATATATTATTTTATTTTAGGAACACCCAAATACTCCGAAATATTTTATTCCGAATTTTGATGCTCCGATTTTCCAAAGTCCGAATTTCATAATACCTAAGAATTATAATCATCATCATCATCATCAACAGCCTTTAACAGTCCACTGCTGGACATAGGCCTCTCCTTAGAAAGGAGGTTTTGGCCTACTATACCACGCTGGCCAGACGGGTTGGTATAGGGTTTGTGTCAAGTTTTCCTTCTCTCTGCAGTGCTGGTTTCCTGCGTATTTCGCTCCCTTAGTCGCCTCTTACGACACCCACGGGATGAATAGGGGGGTGTCGTAAGAGGCGACTAAGGGAGCGAAATACGCAGGAAACCAGCACTGCAGAGAGAAGGAAAACTTGACACAAACCCTATACCAACCCGTCTGGCCAGCGTGGTATAGTAGGCCAAAACCTCCTTTCTAAGGAGAGGCCTATGTCCAGCAGTGGACTGTTATTAATATTCAAATTTATTATTAATTATGACTATTATTAATATTCAAATTTATTTTACCGAAAGTCGTAAATGCGATTTGTTTGTTTGCCGATTTTTATAAGCACGAAGTGTAGCCGACAGAACGACTCATTGATGAGTGAATCTACGACAGAATCTTACACAAAAAAAAGGAATCGCAGACAAAGCTTATTAAAGCGTGATTTGTCACTACTAGTGACTAAATCTAAAACGTTCGTAATGGAAAGGTTCTCGTTGATACGGTCTTAAATAAACTTATTGTTATTCGGTCTATCGAAACTCGGTATTTCGAGCATAGTAATTATAAACGTTAGGAATATTGAATTTTTTAAATTATGAAAATAGGATGAATGATAAATCGGAGTTGTTAAATTCAGAATTTTGAACCATTTGGAATTATGAAAATCAGTATTTTGAAATTCTTATTTAAGACTGACGGAATAGAGTTTTTCGTATTTCTATAGTGTACTCTTTTATTTTATGCCTGTTCAATTTGGTTTTTCAAAAGATAATGTAACATAATGTGCATATGTATATTCTGTATCTTATTTATAATAGGAATCGTTGTCTGAATCCGGGCAAGTACAGTCATTATTTGGAAAGATGGCTGGCAGAGTACAGTAGTCACCAGCTACACATCATCGACGGGTCCTTGCTACGTTCAGAACCCGCCGGCGTTATGAACACGCTGCAGAAGTTCCTCAAAATATCGCCACACATCGATTATAATAAACTGCTCAAGTAAGTTTTCAATTATCTATATGTATATTTTTTTAGCTGGATATAACTTCTTCACTGGAGCAAATGCAGCTGAATAACTAACTCTCTTCGTCACGGTAATTTATTAAACGATCAGCAAATTCTAGGTAAAAATAGTACAGGACACAATTAGCCCTATTATAAAGACTAGAAATTGATCTTTAATAACAACATATGAAAAATCATTAAAATTCGTCTTTGCAATCTAAAGTTAAACATAACTTGTAAAAATAGAAATGTATGATGGCGAAATTCGATAGTGTCGTGGAACGGATTCTCTCCCACACTTTTCGACTCCGCTGACCACCAGTGATTAGTGTCATTAACTATTTAGTAGTACTCGTTAACCACAGAGTTCTGCGGAAGTTCTGGAGGTCCATGCGTTAAACTTAGTAGTAGTAATAAAATACCTTTAATGAAACTCGTTATTCAAACTTTCACTGAACAATATACAAATGGGGATTACTGATACAATTTTTGTCGAAAAGAGTATTCGTTTTTTATTAATTACCCATAATAATAATAAATATATCTGATGATGCTAATTTCTTAACAATAAATTCCTTAATATACCATCTAACAAACATCGGCACACGAGGAAAATAAAGCTAAACCTTAAAGCGCATAGTCCTTGAGAAGTGTTAGCAGACTCCAAGAGAGACCAGCCACCTCTACAATTGACGATAACTTAGCTACAATGGCCTCCTTAACTGTGCACATAACTTTGAGAAGCAACTCGCAGCCCGTAATACGGCTGCATCGTGCTTTATCTTAACTTAAGCAGCTTGTGCAATTCTAATCCTTCCTAACTGGACTATGACCATTATTCAGAAATGTATTAACTTATACATATGTATGTGATGTACTTCATCCACTTGGCATTACATTTCACTCGCCGGTGGCTCCTGGTCAGAATCACTTCAGTGAAGGGTCTTTCCATTCTTCGTATCGACATAATAGGCTCTGAGTAATATATTTAGGTAACTAGGTTGGTAGATTCACAATAACAGAGAAAAGCACGCTCTGTTGGCTCAGACGTTTCGAACAAAATGGATGATGAAATTATTGAAAGACTCCGGGAATAACAGACATGAGCTGTAGAAAGGGAATGTAATGCGAACTATAAAGGTAAATAATATATAGATGATGAATAGTTTACCTATGGCCCCGTAAATAATCATCTGATTCATACTGAACGTGGATCGAATAAAGGCGTATTGTATCATTTCAGATAGACAGAACAAACATATGGATATTAAAATTATTATTTTTGGTTGCAGGTACGACCCGAAAAAGGGATTTTTCTGTCAAGCGGTTGGCAATGACAGAACTAAATGTCTGGGTAAATCGAAGGGTCGTATATACCCTCCCATGGAGGAACGTTCTTCGAAGTTCCTGAAGCGTTACTACACGCCTCACAATACAGCGTTGTCCAAACTACTAGTGCGGATAGGACGCCCCGTCCCGCAGTGGCTTAAAGACGAACTATCTAACGGATAGCATATCTTTCAACCTGTAAGGTTGGAACGAAACAAGAAATTGCACGGATCGATTAAGATCTGTGTCATCACCGTCCCTTGACTAAGTCCAAGGGTCGGCGAAGCAGTCCACGAGTTACAAACTGTGGTCGAGCTCGCACGCAATGTTGTTCTTTTCAAGTGTTTCAATGTGAGAGTATTCTTGTTGAACAAATATCTTTATCTATCGATTCATGTAATATATAATGTTTTAAAGAGTGATATAAAACGACTTAAAATTCTTTATCTGTTTAAACGAGGTGACGAATGATATTATTGTTTAAGTTTATTTTTTTACTGTATGTAGGTGTAGTGAATGACTTGTGTTTCCAGTGAAACGTTGCGATTCGACTTTGCTTGCCTGACGTTGTTGTTTCTTAGCCATATTTGTATGGACAGTGTGTCCGACGCCGCGAGTGTCGGTCTAGGTGCTATTTGTTAATAGTTGCAATTCTCATAATGTAATCTTTAGTTATTTTGATAAACCTCATTTGCTTATAGATGCAATTATGTTGTTATACGATCATTCTAACAAAAACGCTTTATAATTAGATATAATTACTAATCATTTGTTACATATACTTAAACGTTGCATATATGTTTTATTCCACGCTGTAACCGATCATCGCTACGTTTTATTACTAATAATATTAGTTTCTTTTAATTACAATGTACGTACCTGATGCAGTTTGTAAATGTGTGGTTAATTTTGTACTTTTCAAATAAATTTGTTGCAATGTTATTTTACCAATCTCCTTGTCTTAGTGCCATAAACTTGAACTGAAATTAGTGGCACTCGAAGAATTGTTCTACGTATTTTATTTTTAGAAAATGAATTCGAAATGTAACAAACACTAGTCCTCTTCAAAGGCGAAAGCACCAACGTAAAGTTACATACGATTAGTTCGTTCATGTGACACGAACTATCGAGAGCCCACATCAATTTTAGTTTCAGTTACCGAATTAGCAATAAGAATTTATAATATACGTATTGATGAAGTCGCATTATATTTAAAATAAATGTCAACAATGACGACCCATTGAATAAAATAAATGTATTTGGTATATATTTTGATATGCATAAATTTACGAGGCGAGGTAACTCGGCAAAGAACGATGAACGTTTTTGTAAAACCGAATCGCTGTAGAACTTTTCTTACTCTTTGTTGTAATAGATGTCGGTACTTAAAATCTTGTAAAAAGCCTTTTCCCATGAGAAATACATAGAAGAGAAAAAATATATAATGAAATCGGTATTCGAATATAGAGTTAATAATTAATATTTTTGTGGTACATTATTATCTTATTTAGTAAATGTTTTCGAAAGCTTCAAATTAAATTTATATTCAGACTTCTGATGTTATTAATATATTGTGAAGATGTGTGTTAATAGAAACGACCTTGCAATGTTTAGAGTGAGCTATCAAACTTGTAACGGTGTGGCATTTTGTAAACATGTTTAGATTTGAATTACATCACTCAATGTAAAGAGAACACCTGTCGTGTGTTTCCGGGCCAGCATTACGTTCACTTGGTACAACTTTTGTTTTTATCCGTTAATCAATTGCGACGCCCTTATTTATTTAACATCACAATTTTACTTAACATAGTCTTTTTGGACGATTACAGCCAACAGACTGTTCTTAAAATGTGTTCTGTAAAAGAAATTAATACATCACTTATTTTATTAAATGATTTGGACCTTAAACTTGTGGTTTTTGTAACACTTTTCTTTTTTCTGTGCGGACACCCCCTTGGATACCACCCACCAGTGGTTATGTGGTTGTATGTGTTGTATGGTTTTTGTAACCCTATCATTTGTTTAAGGTATTGACTGTGTGAAGGCTTTAATAAATAGTTAGAAACGGCTTGGATTCCACCCCCCAGACCGATAAACGGAGACGTTAAAGATATATTGAAACGCTTTAATGTCCCTCCATATATTTGCAGTGGTGGGTAACCGTGGAACAAATGCAATTCTGGGAAGATACAATGCAACTACCCCTAGCCTTGCGAAATGTGCCAATTTCTAGAGTACTATTCGATTATCGTACACTTGTGGAAAATATGCTCGGCTATACGTTGCGGTATGAGTATGCGCATGTTCAAACAAGCGCGTTAGCTTCAATATGTTCAAGCCTTCAAGACTGGAATTAAACAATAAAATGGCTCCAAATTATCATCTATGTTATAGACAAAGTTTATTCTAAGAATGATTTCCCAAGAGAGGTTACCAGTCGTGTTTGGTACGTTGGTAATGTCAACTGTAAAACTTCTAAATTATATGCTTAAACTTAGACTTCGGGGCTCTGACTAACTTATATAGAAACTTAAATGTTAGATGTTAGTAATTTATTTACATATATGGTGATAGTATTAAATAAAAATTACGCAGCAGGTGCTTTTAAATATTTTAATCGACCTATCCAAATGCCTGACTGCGGTGAAGGACCGATTGGGATTGTGGAGCTCTCTCAAAGGAAGGTATAAAATGGTGAAAGATTATACATGACGTCTTCTTGAAACTACAGTTATAGTCTTAGTTCCTTGAGTTTGTTTCGGTGTTAGTAAACATTATCGAAGGTTATGTACAAAAAGATATACTCATTTAATTCAGGAAAGCGTCACAATGTTAAACTATATCTCTACTTATATTTTATATTTGGAGGAAAGGAGGCAATTTTATATTTTTTGTTGGTTTGTTTATAATGATAGGCTTCGAAACTACTGGACCGGTTTTATGTAATTTCAACACATGTCTAATTAGAAATGACGCGAGATATCGAAAACTAAAGTCCCTTGTCTCTTCTGTCAACATGCATATTCTTCCTCTGACTGCAACACATCATGCTGCTCACTGTACCCCTTCTCTTTTAGGTTTAATTCTTGTCTCTGATCCCTATAAAGTTGCTGTACATGGTCAACTTACTGCGCCTTTCTCATACCATGATCTCATTTTCCTCTCCTACAAAATCTGTTCTCCTAAACCGAAACCTAAATTCGTATTGCTCCGTAGTTTTAAGAATATTAACACAGAAGATTTAAAAGCGGATGTGGAAAACATGAACTGGTCTCTTCTTTAAAACTGTGCAGATCTAGATACTAAGTTGGAAAGATTATTTAACATCCTGCTGAATCTGTACGCCAAACATGCTCCTCTTAAAAGAAGTAAGAATGAAACATCTACCTGTAGCATGGCTTTCAGATATATGTCCAAACGGGATAAGGGCCAAACGAAAATACAAAAAAAATCCCTCTGAAGATAACTGGTCGATCTACAAATCTGTTCGGAACCCCTGTAATCGTCTGTCAAGATGCTAGAAGGCGCCACATTCATGACTAAAAAATTTCAACACATCACAGCTATTGGTATTGGTTGTGGGCTTTGGTTTCCGCATTTAGACTCAAGAGTGGTCCTTTATGCGTCGAGGACTGGTTAGCTAGGTGAGCCAACCAAGCTCCTTCCAGAAGCGCAGAAGCCTCCTGAGGCCTTCACAGGCGTCTAGGCCACTCCCTCGCTCATTTTTTAATTTTTCTTTGTCAGCATTAACAGACTAATCGACTAAACAGACAAAATATAATAAATAATAAAAGATGCCTTTGTTAAGCTACAGACACAAAGTATTTTAAAGACTGTAAAAAATGTGTATCTAAGACTATAATCTAAACAACATATAAATACTTTAAATCTGAAGATAAATGGTCACACGTTTTGTAACTACTTTTATATATTACTAGCTATTGCCCGCGTGTACGTCGGTTACCGCGGCAAAAAGTAGCACGTTACTCACTGACAATGTAGATTCCCATTAGTGTAAGAATTTTTAAAATCAATTGAGTGGTATAGGCGTAAAAGCGTTACAAACAAACAAACTCACTTTCACATTTATATTATACTTTATACAAGGCTTTATAATATAAGTATGATTTATATAATCTGGTCAGATGAATTTTATAACTATTATTACTAAAGAACTAAAGTATGAAATTGCCGTTGTATAGTAATGGATACTTTAAATTGACATAAAACCTTCATGGTGTGAAATTTTTGTGTAAAACTTTTTTCACATGATACATATGAAGTTCTTCTTTTAAAAAATGTGCAACATTCAATTTCCGACTTTCAATTTACGAAAGTTTTTGATTTAAACGCTTTCGTAATGAAAACTTCGACTTGAAGAACGAACCACGTGGAAGGCCGCCCACACAGGTTAATAACGCTGAATTGAAGGAGAAGGTGGAAGCCGATCCGAGGACCCAGGAATTAGCGGCATTGTTTAACGTTACCCTACCTACAATATTGACTCATTTACATCAAATGAATAAGATAAACAAGTCTACATAATTAAAAAAAAAACCCGACTGCAAAAAGACAATTTAAAAGTAATGAACTAATTAAAATATGGTCATGATATACCATTTTTAAAATCCTCATGATAAGCTCTTTAATTTGATACCCATATTGCAGTATCAAAAATTGTTTTTTTTTTTTTACTTTAAACTATAGCGTCTCACAGTCGTCATGCTGTTTCTTTTTTGCGTCACCTATCTAAGAGCAGTTGGGTTATCAAGACGAATCTAAGGATATCTTAACTAAATAAATCTGTGCAGTGGTTTGGAGGATATGACGTAGGGTGAACAAAAAAAAACACTCTTTCTTCCAACGCATACCCCCTTTTTTTTTTTTTTTCCGTGCGGAAATCCCCTCGGATACCACCTGTCGGTGGCATGTCGGACTCGAACCGACTAAAACCGTACGCCGTCTCGGGTACTAATAGCCGGGGAACCAGGTATACCCTAGAAAGGAAGTCCCTGGTACCCCGACATACCTCGGGTCATCTACAGACGAGTAGACGACCCCCCCCCCCGTGTGGGAACCCCATGTTCCCGGTGCTCCCTGGAAGCGAGCGCGCTTCGCAACGCGCTTGCCGCCACCCCGGCCTGCTTCTGCTAGGGTGACAGATGGCCTCACCTGTCACCCCC